GAAAAACGATCTTTTTCTTTTGTCAATCTTGTATATTTAAGGAAAATTCCCGAAGAAAAAAACATAACATGTTACATGAAATAACAAAAGAAAAAAAAAATAAGAAACAAAGAAACAAAGAAACCAAATGATTGTACAAAATGAAATTGGAATTAGTCAGTTTGTGTATTTGGTGTTATATAAGCCCTAATAATAGTTATATCATCAACAGGTCGATCATTATCTGTTGTTTGAATAATTGAAATTTTTTGTAAAACATTTATACCAGAATGAATACGTCCAAATATAGTATGTAATTTATCTAATGATTGAGTTGGAGCTAATGTTAAAAAAAATTGAGAACCATTTGTATTTGGACCTGCATTTGCCATTGATATTATACCTGCACCTTTAAATTAAATAAAATCATTAAATTTTATTTATTCAATAAAAAAGAAGTTTTTTTCTAGAAACATTTTTCAAACAAATTTTTTAATGAATATATTCGATATTTAATAAAACAAGTCACATATACATTTTTATTTATTGCATTTTCATTAATCTCAATTGACGATAGATTTATTTAGAACGATAGAAATAAATCAATAACAATTTTATTTAATATTATCAAATAAAATAAAATAAATATTTTATTTGAATTATTTCTTATTATCATCTAATGATATTTTACTTAAATAAATATATATATAACTAGGTTTTTTTATTGAATATATATTAATCTACATTAAATTAGATATTATTTATATGTGTCACAAAATCAATTAAATTGTTTACAGACAAAAAACATAACACATCTTTTTTAGTTTTTGAAAATACGATAAATAATGAGAAAAACAAATAAATATACGAATAATTCATTAAAAAAGATAAATATATCGATATTATCAAAACTATAAATCATTTTGTTTATAATTAAATAAAAATTTTATTTAAATAATTAATTTTATTATAGATATGAAACTTAATATATAATTACAAGTAACGCTCGTCTGCGTTACTCGCTTTACCCTCGACTGACTATTTGACTGCTTCGAAATTTTTACTGTCATACATTTCATTCATAAGCTAGCAACTGACGTATATATCTGCTTGTGTGGGAGAGCGAATATTAATATAAAAATCTGTGTCGGCGTGAGAAACGTCATGCGTATCCTTGGATACTGATTGTCGTATCACTCATTCAACTAAACTGATACTCTACCATTAATACCCGAAGTAAATCTGTATGACGCACAATAGCATAGCAATATCCGCAGGGTTAGAAAAAGACACTATATTCGATTGGCAGAAAAAATCAAGAAACAAAACATATACGAGGCAATAGAGTGAAAATGCACTACAATTCGCGAAAACTATCATAAACCTGCTTTGGCAGCAGTTAGTCGTTCGTT